AGTACTTAGTCGATACATGCAGAATCCGAAAGACTCTCATGGAGTCGCAATGAAGCAATGTTTGAGGTACTTACGAAGTACCACTACTCTCGGTTTAAAGTTTGATTGTTCAAACTCGAAGATACCAAAACTGGTAGGGTACAGCGACAGTAGCTATAACGTTGATCCAGACAATGGAAAGAGTACAACTGGTCACATATTCTATATTGGTGGAAGTCCAATCACTTGGTTCTCACATAAGCAAGAGATTGTGGCATTGTCTTCATGTGAGGCCGAGTTTATGGCAGGTACTGAGGCAGCGAGATAAGCGATTTAGCTTCAAGATCTGCTTAGTGAAGTTACTGGACTACCGTGTGAGAAGGTCGTCATTCGAATCGAGAACAAGTCAGCAATTGCCCTTACTAAAAATCCAGTCTTTCACGGCAGGAGTAAACACATACATACGTGGTATCATTTTTTGACGAAGGCGTTTAGAAGATTCAAGTTTAAAGAGATGAGAGATCTCATTGGTGTCAAAGATTTCAAAAACATTGACTTCAAGCTTAGGAGGGAAAATATTGGATTAAGCTTGAAGAAAGCTTTAAGACATAAGCTATTCTAAATAGATAGAGATTATGAATATATTTAGGAGTTATCTAAATATAAGTTGGATTCCTCATAGATTTAGGTTTTGGTCTTAGTCTCCCAATATATAAAATGATATCGATTATGTGTTATAACTTATGAATTTGAGATTGAGAGCTTAAGTTTTGAGTTATTTTATTAAGTAATAAAGAGAGTTATTATTTATATCATTCTTGAATTCTATAGGACTGCCAAACTTTGCTGAAACTGAAACGACCTGCACAGATTGCTTGAAAGGAAAGCAGCATCGAGAGATTATTCCAAAGAACGCAAAGTGGAGAACCTCAGATAAGTTAAACCTGATTCACCCTTATATTTGTGGTCCAATTTCTCCAACGTCAAATGGTGAAAAGAGGTAATTTATATGTTTCTTTGATTATGTCAGTAAGAAGGTTTGGGTATATTTCTTGGACTACAAAGCAGATGCGTTTGGCTCTTTTAAGCAGTTTAAAAGTGGCGTAGAGAAGGTATCTGGTTCGTCCATTAAGTGCTTGAGAACAGATCGTAGAGGAGAATTTACATCAAGGAAATTCAATGATTATTGTAAAGAAAATGGGATTAAGAGGCAATTGACAACAGTAAACACACTGCAACAAAATAGTGTAGCAGACTGAAAAACACCGAACTTTGATGAAATTGGTGAGAATTCTATTGGTGGAGAAAAAATGTTCCAAAAAGTTTTGGCCAGAAACTGTCAATTAGGCATTCTACATTCTACATTCTAAAGTTTTGGCTCGGTAAAAGATGTGACACCAGAAGAAGCTTAGAGTGGAGTAAAACCTTATGTAGAAAACTTAAGTGTTTGGGTGTATAGCTCATGCTCACGTACCTGATGCGAGACGAACGAAGCTTGGAGACAAAAGTCACAGTTGTGTCCTATTTAAAATAAGTGCATAATCGAAAGGATACAAACTCTTTGATCCCATCTGCAAGAAGATCACAGTTAGCAGAGATGTTGTCTTTGAACAAGAGAAGAAGTGGAATTGGGATGCAAGCTATGGGGAACTAATCAAACTTGATTTTGAATGAGATCAAGAACACAACGGGTCTGAAGTCAATGGTCAAAACAGTGAAGAAGAATAAGGTGAAGAGATTACTGCTGATGAAGATACTGAGATTATTGTTGGTGAAGAAACTGAAGAATCCGAGGGACAGATCGTTTCTTTGCCGCCGGAGGCTATGACAAATACTGATTTTCTTGATAATTCACGACAAACAGGAAATCGAGCGAAAAAGGCACTTTTATGGATCAGTGACTATGTAGGTGAAAACGACGATGAGGATGGCCTAGTTCAGTTAGATTTGTTTGCTGATTTGTTGGTTCAGTTTGCTTTATTTGCTGGAACAGATCCGCTTAGCTTTGAGGAAGCTACACGGACTGAAAATTGGAGAAGAGCCATGGACTCTGAGATAAATTCAATTAAGAAGAATGATACTTGGGTTCTCACTGATTTGCCACAGAGAGCTAAGAGCATAGGAGTCAAATGGGTCTACAACATGAAGCTGAATCAACATGGAGAAGTTGAGAAGTACAAAGATCGCCTAGTTGCAAAAGGTTATACTCAAGAACATGGGATCGACTATGAAGAGGTTTATGCTCCTGTAGATCGCATGGACACTGTACGGATGATTCTAGCCCTATTAGTACAAAGAAGCTGGATCATCTATCAGTCAGATGTGAAGTCCGCAAGCCAAGAAGATATTAGCAGAAAAATGCAGAAAAGAAAGTTTACAAGCTCCACAAGCTTTATATGGACTCAAGCAGGCACCAAGAGCCCAGTTTAGCAGGATAAATTCATACTTCTGAGAGATAGGCTTGAGAAAAATGCAAGTGAGTAAACGTTGTTTACCAAAGTCAAGAGACAATGTAAATTCCTCATCATTAGTCTATATGTTGATGATTTAATCTACAGTGGAAATGATGAGGCAATGATGAGGGAATTTAATGAATCGATGATTTAAGAATTTGATATGTCTGATATGGGAAAGATGAAGTATTTTCTGGGTATAGAAGTGATACAGTTTGATGGAGGAATATTTATCAGACAGAAGAAATACGTGAAAGAGATGTTTGAGAAATTTGGAATGGATGAAAACAATTCTGTTTTGAATCTAATTATCCTAGGATTCAAAATTCACAAGGATGACGATGGTATGAAAGTAGATGGCTCCCTTTACAAGCAGTTGGTTGGAAGCATGATGTACATAACAGCCACAAGACCTGACATGATGTATGATGTCAGTCTCATTAGCAGGTATATGTCCAAACCAACTGAGCTTCATCTAACGGCAGCCAAGAGAATCTTGAGGTCTCTGCAAGGAACTATTAGCTATAGAACTCTCTCTAAGAAGGAAGGAAACATGGAGCTTATTGGCTTCACAGACAGTGATTATGCATTCATTTTAAGTGATCCAGCATTTTCTTGGTCTTTTCGAAAGCAACCAATTGTCACTCTGAGTACAACAGAAGCAGAATTTGTGGCAGTTGCAGCTTGCATATGTCAGTTGGTATGGATGAAAAGAATACTGAAAAGAAATTTGTGGCAGTTGCAGCTTGCACATGTCAGTTGGTATGGATGAAAAGAATACTGAAAAGAATAGATTATGAAGGAAGCACAAGTCCAATCATTTTCTGCGACAACAGGTCAACTATCAAGTTATCAATTAATGAATTCAGTAATGCAAGGCAAGAGCAAACACATTGATGTTCGGTTTCACTTCTTACGATATTTGGTGAATGAGAGAGTTGTGCAACTGAAATTCTGTGGAACTCAACAACAGACTGCAGATATATTTACTAAGCCACTAAAGCTGGAGACGTTTCAAAAGTTCATGAAAAAGTTGGGGGTTTGTGATGAACCAAAATTAAACTAGCACGAGTCTAGTTTAGGAGAGGGAATGATAAGAATTAAGTCTCGATTCATGTCTTATTATTTAGGGTAGTTGGTTATTTGCTTCAATGAATTGTGGTGCTCATGTTTGACCACATTCACCACTTTCGAGGAGTAGTTTGTTTCAGTTGTTTCACGTTATTCCTGTAAGGCTATATAAGCCATTGTTCTTTCTTTAATGAAGTAAGTCAGTTTCCAGAATTGTTCTCTCAACTTAACAATCGTTTTCACCATCTTTTTTCTCCGTCTTTTCTCCAATAATCATCATGATTATAAAGACTTAAAAGCAGAATCGTTAACTTTGATCCCAAAGAATCAAAGACTTTGATACCATATTAAGTTACATGGATTTCCAATCCAAAACCGATTAGTGATGAGTAGATTGGTCCATGTCTCTTATATATAATCTTTCAACTTCCAGTGTGGTATATATTTCCTAATACATCCCCTATGATAATTTTGGCCATTGATCTCAGTAATGTTTGGGTATTGATCTTTGGGTCATATATCGATTATGGATCGGATTAGATTGTGTGGATTGGGTTCTAATATCATGTTATGAATAGAAAAGTGTTGACATTATTAATTGATAAGGTAGGTATTTCTACAAATTTGTAGATCTTAAAACATAAAAGAATACAGTAAATATCTATAATCGATCATATTAACTAGGATAATTTTCATATTTAACATTAAAACAAGTTTTTAGACTAAAAATAACATGAAAGCTAAAATTTATCTAACTCTAACATTTTTTATTTGCTCTTTTTCGATTTTATCCTTTAGGAAAGCGTCTTTATGGCTCTGATTGGTGATATGAGTTAGCATTGATTAAGTTAATTTAAGTTAAGAGCCTAACTCAAAAATGTTACCAATCAAATGTTAAATTGGTTTTTTGATTTTAAGTTTAAGTTATGATGAGTTATGGCTGATGTAAAATTTTGAGTTATCTATTTGTTAAATTTCAAGTCAAAATTTAATATTAAATTAAAGAAAAAGTGATGATTTACAAATTAAATTAGCATATTTTTCTCAATTTTGATTTTCCATTATTGAAAAAAACTCTAACGGCTAAATGGATCAATGGAATCGTTCTGTTTCATTGTTGAAAAGCCAAATTTAGTAGAAGATTTTTTTTCAATATTTACTTTCACAAATTTTTGTTGAGAAAATATTTTTTGAAGTTAGTAGAAGATCTTTGTTGCTATTTGAATTACTCACACCAAGTTGTTCTTATAATCTTAATTTTTGATTTTATTTTATACGTTTTAAAATAACTACTAATATATATATATATATAAACATTTTTAGTTAATTCTGGACAAACACAAACACCATTGAAGAGTTCAAGTTTCTTTCTTCTTTCTATTCACATCACATAGATACTCTTAAATCTTTATTCATTTTTTATATATTTTTAAAGATATTAATATAAAATTTGTTATGATATTACTAATTATTTGTTTTATTTTTCTTTTGATAAAGATGTCTAATGATGGTGGTGCCCAGGATGATGTTGGCGGAAGTTTTTCGTCCTAAGGTAACTATTACAAGTGATATTAAACATATTACACATTGCAAGTTACAGTATTTAATATTAGTGACGTAAACTATAAGAACAAAAACAAATCCTTAGGGAAGATAAGCATATCGGAATATATTTGGAGCTTCTCGATATTGAATTTGCCAAAATAAGATATAAGCAAAAGTTGCCTAAAGAAGTTGGAAGAGAACATATTTATAAAAGGTTTTTGGAAAAAACTGGTAAGTCTCTCTTGAGAATCTTTCAAGAGTAAATAAAACGCTTTGAGAAAAAAATATGGATGGTATAAGAGGTAGGTGAATTTCACTAGAATTTCAGCAGACAGTAACATTGGTATGATTTATATGGATTATGATTGGTGGGATAAGCGTGAAAAGATACATTATTTTATATTTTGAATTTTAAATAGTTTATTATAAGTTATAGTTAATGGTTATTGATGCTTACGTAATATATTTTATTATTGATTTTTGCAGAAAATACAATATGCAAAACAGATTCGTGAAAACGGAATCCCACATATGTAGTTGATGACGCGTATATTTGACCGTCAAGGGTAGTAAACCAGAAGCTATGTACTCAACTCATAACAAGATGGCGCCGCCTAATCATACAAGTCCTGCGTTCGTTGATTCTATAGAATAACCGAACAAAGAACAACTTGAACTTCGTTGATTCATTTTGAATAACCGAAGACTCCAGAAAAGGATAAAAAGCTCAAAGTTCTGTTTTATTCAATAATCGATAATCCTACAGGAATGGAAAAGGAAGTCTTATATAACGATGACTCCTCTAATAAGATAATAACACCGAATAAGCTTCTAAGACATAGAAGTTATCATGAATTTTAAATAAACCCAAAATCTAAATAAGACACAAATCCGATAAACCAAAACCCAATATGATTAACACCAAAGCCGATAAACCCGTGAGTGATGACGATGACGCTGCATCAGGTCTCCTCGGGTGGGAGAAGATTCGTCTCTGAATCTGGAATGTTGTTGTCGCCGCAGTACTTGGAGAGGTACTTGATGTTGAAGACGTTAACAGTCTTGATGTGAGAAGGTAGCTGCAGACGATATGCGTTATCATTTATGCGCTCTAATACCTCGACTGGCCCAATCTTATAACTTATTGTACTCATGCAAAGGCAAACGGTCCTTAGTCATAACCACCCAAACCATTTCGCCTGGTTCAAAAATCCCCTCTGGACGCTTAGTATCAGCACGAGCTTTGTAAAGGTGTGCTGCCGTTTCAAGATTAGTGCGAGTCTGAAGATGTGTCTCTCTCAACGAGTCAAGAAACTCCACTGCACGACCATGCTCCCGCCTTGTGTCAGGAACTGCCGTGAGATCCCAAGGTCCCCGTGGCAACACGTTATAGACCACCTGAAATGGACTAAATCTGAAACTCCTGTTTGTTGCATGATTGTGTGCAAACTCAGGCTGACACAACTTCGACTCCCATGCTCAGATATTCTCACCCACAAGACAACGTAACATGTTCCCTAAGGCACGATTAGTAACCTTCATCTGACCATCGGTTTGCGGATGGTAAGCGGTACTCATATCAAGACTTGTATGTAGAAGCTTCCACAATGAATGCCAAAAATGTCTTAAGAACCATGTATCTCTATCTGATACGATCGACGTAGGGAGGCCGTGAAATCTATAAACCTCCTGAAAGAACAACTGAGCCACCCGGACTGCATCTGTGGTTTGCTTACAAGGCACAAAATGTGCCATTTTAGAGAACTGATCCACCACGACAAAGATAGAGTCATTACCTCTCTGAGTACAGGGAAAGGCCAAGTATGAAATCCATGCTTAATTATGTCCACGGCTGCTTAGGCACAGGTAACGGCAGGTATAACCCTGCGTTGGATGCTACTCCTTTAGCCAACTGACAAGCACAACAACGTTCGACAAATCGTTCCACATCACGCCTCAACGTAGGCCAGAAATACGCTGCAGAAACCGGTTGTAATGTCATGTCTCTGCCAACATGACCCTTTTCGTGTAGTTCTTCAATCACCTTCAAGCGTAGATTGCACTCTGATAAACAAAGTTGTACCCCCCGGAACAAGAAGCCATCTGTCAAAATGTAATCCGTACGCGAGCTACGCTTGACATCCTCCAAGATCACACCAAAAAAGGATCAGTAACATACAGGTCCGAGAAAAAAGCAAATCCCAGAACAGTGACATGCATCGTTGTAAGCAAAGAATATCGGTGGCTCAACGCGTTAGCCACTCTTTTTAACTTTCCTGATTTATGACGAATGGAAAACTAAAACTGTTGGAGATACGCTATCCACGACGCATTTCTTGCGAACACCTTTATGTGGCTATCAAGATGTCTGAGAACATCATGGTCTGTGAATAAAATAAAATCACGATGCTTAATTGCCTATACCACTGCGTAAAACTCTATATCATAAGTGCTGTAGCGACTGCAAGCCCCACCCAGTTTTTCACTAAAATCCGCTACTTGTCGTGTTTGCTGGCTTAAGACAGCTCCAATTCCTAACTTCGAAGCATCGCAGTAGAGTTCAAATGGTAAATCAAAGCCATGGAGTACCAAAATTGGTGCCGACGTGAGCTTTTCTTTGAGAAGAAGGAACACGTCCCGCGCCACTGCTGTCCAAACGAATGGTGTAGTCTTCATACACTCAGTTACTGGGACCGTGATGTAACTAAAGTGCGACACAAAACGCATATAAAATGATGCTAAGCCGTGGAAACTACGCACTTCCGAGATGGTGTGAGGCTCTGGCCAGGAATGCACAGCCTCCACCTTGCTCTCGTCCATCGCCAAACCCTTGGCAGACACAATTTATCCCAAAAAGAGAACCTTGTCAACGCCCAGCTCACACTTTTGTTTAGCAACAAATAAGGTCTCACGTCGTAATACCAACAACACTTGTCGAATATGACTTTGATGCTCTGCCACTGTAGAGCTAAAAATCAGTATATCGTCAAAATAGACCACGATAATTTACCAATATATGGACGTAATGCTTGGTTCATGACTCACATAAATGTGTTAGGTGCATTTGACAATCCAAAAGGTATCACCATCCACTCAAACAAACCCTCCCGAGTTTTAAAAGCAGTCTTCCACTCATCACATGGGCGAATGTGTATTTGATGGTACCCACTTTTGAAATCTAGCTTTGAGAAGATCAACGCGCGCCCAATCTGATCAAGCAAGTCGTCCAAACGTGGGATGGGAAAATGGTAGCGAACAGTGATCTTGTTAATTGCCCGGCTATCCACACACATACGCCATAACCCATCCTTCTTGGGAATGAGGAGTGATGGACTGCACAAGGACTCAAACTCTCCCGAGTGTGTCCCTTGTCTAAGAGACTCAAATTGATGCTGCAACTCCTCGTGCTCCTTTGGGCTCATTCTGTAATGTGGTCGGTATGACAGGGCTGCTCCTGGCACCAAATCGATATGATGTTGTATATCTCACAAAGTTGGTAACCTTTGGGGAAGGTCATCAGGAAATACATCAGAAAACTCTGCGAAGAGCTCGCAGACCGACGTTGGAGGTTGTGTTGTAGGCTGTCAGTGTGGCTGAGATGTCAACAAAACCACCGCAAACCCTGTCTCTTTCAACTCCGATTGAAACGTTGTGAGAGTGCAAAATAAAACATTCCCCATGTGAGGTAACTCAGGTTTATCCTCCACACTCTCCTTCTCCGTGATGCGAAGGGTTGAAGAATTCAGAAGCAAAACAATCTTATGATTGTCAAACTCAAAGTTGTGCACATTGGTACGTCCATTATGAGACACATTACGATCGTATTGCCAAGGTTTTCCCAACAACAAGTGACCGATATCCATTGACACAACATCCCAAAAGATTTTATCTTTGTAATAAAGACCAACAGAAAATGCCACCAACACCCGCTATGTGATTCGTATCTCGGTTCCTTCTTGTAACCATGTGAGCTTGTACGGAGCTGGATGTGCTTCTCTACGCAATCCCAACTTACGGCAAGCATCTTCGGAAACCACATTACGATAACTCCCGAAGTCGATCACAAAACGACACACTGTACCTTTGATCGTGCATGTAGATTATAAAATATTTTTAGAAAGCCATGGCTCTTCTCCTACCGCCGGGGCTAAGGAAACGCGGAAAACTAAGTAATTGTCACTGATATCAAAACTGGCGCAGCCTAATCACACAAGTTCTACGTGCGTTGATTCTGTAGAATAACCGAACAAAGGACAATTTAAACTTGGTTGATTCTCTTTGAATAACCGAAGACTCAAGAAAAAGATAAAAAGCTCAAAGCTCTATTTTATTCAATAATCGATGATCCTATGGAAAAGGAAGTCTTATATAATGATGACTCCTCTAATAAGATAACAACACCGGATAAGCTTCTAAGACGTAGAAGTTATCATAAATTTAAAATAAACCCAAAAGCCAAATAAACACACAAATCCGATAAACCAAAACCCAATATGATTAACACCAAAGACGATAAACCCATTAGTGATGACAATGATGCTGCATCACAAGATCCAAAGAATGTTGAACAAGATGAGAGGAAGCCAATGGGTAAGTCTGTTCCAGAAACCCAGGATAATGTTGCAGATGATTCAAACAATATTCATACAAGTGATGTTCATTTACTCACAAACCATCTCACTAGAGTCTCTGCCAATGTGCTTATTGGTCCATCAAAGCGTTCAAACAGAAAGCAGTCACATGTTACTTCATACGAACGTAATCGAGGGAAAGGTGTATTACAGAGTCGGGAGATAATATTTCACGAAGAAGAAAAAGTTTTGAAACAGAGATAAATGGGCACTTCAAGGAAATGATGGAATTACGCAGTGTTCAAAAGGCAGAAGCAAAAGAGCGTAGAGAAAAGAATGAAGCCCAACCATACAAAGAGGCATATGGAATCTTGCAATCAGTTCAAGGTCTAACAAAATGGACAGACTTTTGGTGGGATTGTGTCAAAGTACTACTAAAAGAGGATCCGTATGCCCGAGAAATGATGGTCTACAATGAAAGTGATGATCTGATCACGTTTTTGGAGGGTTATACTGGATATGATCATTACGGAATCTACATTGGAAATCGTTTCAAGACTTTGCAAAGTTGCAATGGTGATTCTTCAAGTGTCAACCTAGAGCAAAACATCAAAAACACATAAGGGGGGAATCATAGAGAATTTGGTGTTCCATCTTATGCAGAACTGATGTCATTATTCCAACAAGTGGGATATAAACATCATGGTGGAAAACTATGTGAAGTTGGAGAAACGAGTGAAACGACGATTAATCTTGAAGATTAATATTTAATTTTTTATTTTGTTTTAAGTGATCTTTTAAGATTTATGATTTTTGATATTTTTCTTCTTCTTTGTTTCTAGCTAATAATTTAGGATTTTGTTTTTGTTTCTAGCAAATAATTTAGGATTTTTCTTTGTTTCTAGCTAATAAATTAATTTTTTTTTCATTACTGGTTATATATTTATGATTTTTAAATATTTTTTGATCAATCTTTATTGTCTTTTATATTTACAGGCCATACGATTAAATGAATTGTATTTTCGGGGTTTGGAAAATCTTACAGAAGAATAGTTGCTAGAGTTGTACAAACTAGAATACGAAGAGTTCATGAATATGATTATACAACCTCCGCTGGGGTACCACCAACGTTACTTTTCCAAGCAACCAATGGCAACTGAACAGGGACTCGGTTGGCGACACCTCGAAGATCAGATGCAATGTCCAGTACGTTGCATAACCGTGTTAAGGATGCATCCAAAAGCGTTTCAGAACCTACGCACAATACTGCAGCAGCGTCACCACTTATGGAGAACCGATCATATCAGTGTTGATGAGATGTGATATACTCATTTTTACACCATATTAGTATATATTTTGCATTATTTTATAGTCTTCAAGCATGCATTTCTACATGTTCTTGTCCAAATTGCATCCACTTAGCATCTAGAGTATAATTAGGAGTTGTATTGCATAGTAGGTGCATTCCTAGTACTTGGCAGGTGCATTTTGGGAGTTTGGGGACCAAAGGAAGAGCTGGGTGAAGTTACCAAGGCGAGAAGGCTTCATACCGAGCAGGATTCGACTTGGCAGATCGATACACAACGTACAGAACAACATATCGACATCACACATCGATACATGCTGAGGAACTATATTGATTAGCACATCGAAGTCCCAGAGTTGATACAAGGAGACAGGACACCAGAGGAGTATCGAGCTATCCTGATCGATACACCACCTTTGAGGCTCTTTTACTGGTCAGTATATCGACATAGGATCATCTCGATACACAAGCCAAGAAGTGTATCGATCACTGTATCGACATTGGAGCTCGATGAGCCTTAACTAAAGGGCGATTGTATCGAGTAGCATTCCAAGGAGATCATCCGAGATGCCTTAGCCAGGGGCGTCTGTATCGACAAGAGTATCGACTAGACTTGGTCGATACACTCTCCTGCCAGCCAATATCGACCAGAGCATCGATGTAGCAAGTCGATATCAGGCGTCCGAACCAGCTGCTTTCCGATTTATTTCCTGTTTACTAAGGATTTTTCCTGAAAACTATATATAGGCTGCGACCTAAAAACATAAGAGAGTTATCTCATCATCTTTTACCCTCTGGATTATAGTTTTCTCTTTTCCGTTTCCCTTAGTTTTTCTTGTAATCTCTTGTTGAATCTTGTTCTTTCAATCAAAATTTGGTGTTTATCTACTCTCTCATCATGATTTATGATCCCTCCTTGCTTTGGGCTGTGATTAGGATCATGATTAGTGGGTAGTTTACTTAGGGTTTGAGATAGGATAGAGATAAGAGATATTTAAGGATAGATTAGTGATTGCTTAGTGCTTAATATTATTGTTCCTTCTTATTAATTGTGTTTAATGCTAGATTAGCCCTTGCTAAGTTGATTTAGATCCTAGGGTTCTCTTATGCCTGCCAAGTGTTTGATGAATTTCCTGAATGAGTCAAGTAAGAGATTTGCTTATCTTAGCCTAAGGAATTAGCTGTCTAAGGAGTAGATTGGCAATATAGAATTGGATTAGTTGCTTATAATGCTTGCTGATCATGCATTTGAGTAAAGAAATTTGTCTTGAATATGTGTTTAGCAAAGTGGCTAGTGTCAAGGAATTGAGCTAGCTAGAGCTGTTAATTTTATGCCTAGGAATAGCATTGTTTGAAATCTTTGAAGCATCACTAGTTAATAAAAGAGTCTCCCTAGATCAATTACCCTACCTCAAGCCTACTAGTCTTTGATGTTTGAATTCGAACCTGCCTTAGTTTCTCTGTTTATTTTACATGCTCTTGCTTATTTGAAGTCTCTTTTAGTTGTTAGGTTTATAGTTTCAATTACCCATTTATGCTTGCTTGAATTAGATAATCTATTGCATTCCTAGTATCTTACCTTCCCATTATGGATTGATACCTACATACTACAATGATATGAGTATATGTGGGATTTGAAGTAGAGTAAACTCCTACAACAAATTGGCACCCTGCCATTTGGATTGTTCTAAGCATTATGATTTGTAGATTGTTTAAGATCAAGCTTTTATTTTCGTTTTTGGTTACTAATTGCTCTTTTTGGATTAGAATTTCTTTTGTAGGTACCAAAACACTTGATCTAAGGCACCTACAGCTGCTCAACTAGTACAAGGGGCAAGATTTTGGATTCACAGCAGCAGCTATCAGTTGTTGAAAGATGGAAGAGCATCCACATGCTGCTGGTTGTGGTGAGCAAGGCCCTAATGGTTTAAAAAGTGATTGGGGTTTGAGAGATCAAAGGCAACCAAGACCTATAGGAGCTGCTGATATACCATCTTTTACTTCAAGACATGGGATCACTCCTCCTCTAGAGGACAGTCACTTTGAGATCAGAAAAGGCATGATTGCAATGGTTCAAGACAGCAGATTCTTTGGGATGCCTAATGAAGATCCACTTGAGCACTTAGACAACTTTGAGAGGATCTGCTATGTGGCTAGGATGAGTGGTATATCTGATGACGGCATGAAGCTTAGACTCTTCCCTTTCTCACTTGGAGATAGAGCTCAACTATGGGAAAAAGGATTGCAGCAAGGAAGCATCACAACTTGGGCTCAATGCAAAACTGCTTTCCTAACTAAGTTCTTCTCTTCCTCTAGGACAGCCAGATTTCGAAATGAGATTTACAACTTCCACCAATGGTCAAATGAGAGTTTTGCAGATGCTTGGGAAAGGTTTAGGAGCTTCACAATCTAATTCTCCCATTATAGTTTCACAAAAGAGGCGCTGCTATCTACACTATATAAAAGTGTTCTGCCTAAGATGAGACTACGTCTTGATACAGCTAGCAGAGGTAACTTTCTTGCTCAAGATGTGGATGATGGTTTGTCTTTGATTGAGAATCTAGCTCAAAGCAATGCACAATATAGTGAGGACCAAGAAGACACTTCGAAATTAGTCTCTTTTTAACTATAAGCTACTTTACTAGAGGTGAAAGTGCTGAAAGAGAGAATGGATGATGGATTCCGCCAGTCACAGCTTCCGAAACAACTCATGACTCAATATGTTCAGCAACAAGAAGGGGGCAGACAGCCAAAACAACAGCAACCTTCACCTCCTCCTTCCACCCAAGAACCTGACATGAAGCAAATGCTCCAACAGCTCATCACCTCCCAACAAGCTATCACCACACAAGTAGCTACACTTCAGTCTCAAGCTCCAAGCCCAGCACAAAAATGCGCCATCTACATCTCACTCCTCAAGACAATACATCAAAACTGTCACATTGAGAAGTGGAAAACAACTCCCTCCTAGAGTTTCTCCTACTATCCACAATGAGAACATTGAGGTTCAAGAAGGGGAGGTAGCCATAGAAGATGATAAAGTGGTAATAGAAGATAATGAACCAGTCAAAGCTGATAAAACCCCAAAGAAGGATAAAGGCAACCATGTGGCTAAGGAAAAACAAAAGGATGCACCTCCTAGAGTTTCTCCCACTATCCACAATGAGGACATTGAGGTTCAAGAAGGGGAGGTAGCCATAGAAGATGATGAAGTGGTAATAGAAGATAATGAATCAGTCAAAGCTGATAAAACCCCAAAGAAGGATAAAGGCAACCATGTGGCTAAGGAAAAACAAAAGGATGCGCCTAAAGAATTGGTTAAAGAACCAAGATACATACCTCCTCCTTACAAGCCACCACTGACATTTCCTAGAAGGTTCAAGAAAGAGTTTCTTGCCAAATACAAAGGTCTCTTTGATGAACAGATGAAGAAAATACAGTTTACTATGCCCTTATTTGATGCTTTTGTCCTGATTCCTCCTTGCCAGAAATTTCTGAAAGATGCTGTAGTAGAGAGAACCAAAGATCTACAAGGGATGGCTGTGCTAACACATGAATACAGCGCCATCATCCAGCAACAGAAGGTGTCTCCTAACAAGCTTGGTGACCCAGGGAGTTTCACTTTACCCTGTTCTATATAGGTCCACAACTATTTGAGAAATGCTTGTGTGATTTGGGAGCCAGCGTCAGCTTGATGCCCTATTCCATTGCAAAGTTTAATAGAGTTTAAGGATTGTAGAATCTCTTTAGTGTTGGCTGATAAATCAGTGAGGATCCCCAACGTATTGCTTGAAGATGTTCCTCTCAGGATTGGGAATGTATAGATCCCAACCAATTTTGTGGTTTTGGAGATGGATGAAGATCCCAGGGACCCTCTCATCCTAGGGAGGCCCTTCTTAGCCACAACAGGAGCTGTCATTGATGTAACATATCACTGAAGTTTGACATTAAGCAAATCATGCAACAGCCTACCATAGAAGGTCAAATTTTCAAAATAGAGACCTTGGAGGAGCTGCATGATGAAGTCCAAGAGGGGTAGTGCTGTGATGACAAACTACAAGTGGCTTTGGCAAAGGAGTATGGGGAAGATGGCTATTTGGATAAGGAAAGCTTTAGTTACATGCTGAGGCTTAACTCTCACAAGATATTGGAGGAAGAGGAGCTGTTTGAAGAGCTGGGGTACAAGGAGACAGAAATACTCTCCATCCAAGAAGCTGGCGCCAAGGAGCAAAGCAGCATAGATGATGATTGGAATGAACTCAAGGCGCCAAAGGTGGACCTCAAACCTCTTCCTAAAGGGCTAAGGTATGTCTTCTT